CGTTTATTTTTTCAGTGACTAATCTATTGTCCAATATGTTGGATGTATTTATCAAAAACCTTTACCCGCATGACACATTCATTTATGCAGACAGTTACATGTCTGAGTCAAACAAATGTTCTGTTGACTCACAGAAGTTGCCAGATGTACGAAGATTAGAAAAAGTGGGATCATGACTCAGCCTGTAAGTCACTGTTCAGGAGGATAATAACAAGAGATAACTATTTTGAAAAACCTAAGCTATAGAATGGCAATTTTCAGATGAGCAATGACAGCAATTATGAAAATGGTTTTTTTTAGATAACGGATGCAGTTTCAAGTACAATAATTACGACGGAGAAAGAAACAAATAAAGAGTTATTTCAACAGTTCCGAGATTATTACACAAAATTATAAAAAGACTTTTGCTGTAAAATAACAATTTAGATGAGTAATGAAGCAGATAATCATGGTGAAATGGTTTTCTGGGAGATAATAACTGAAATTTCAAGTACTATACGGTAATTACGATGAAAAAAAAAACAGATAAAGAGCTATGTTATACTTTAAAGGTTGATAAAAACGGGTTTCATTACCTTGGTCCTCTATTGCCCCCCCCCCCCTTAAAGCAAAAAAAACGCCCATTTGTGAATCAGGCTTTATACCAATATCCATAGAGCGTTAAGTTTTCACGCGTAGCAGGAGAAGGTATTATGTAGTAATGAAAAAATTCGATTTTTGAAAATATGTACGAGTGGAAGATCAACGGGATTAGTAAAAGAGATGAGTGGTGATTGAGGAATGAAAAAGAATTTCTTAATCCATAAAGCAAATAACAAAACAGAAGACGTGCTATATCAGTAAATTATTATTTATTATTCGTATTATTTGATTATTTGACATATCAACATTATTTCGACTGAATCACTAACTTCTATGATTTGTTTATTCTTATGGAGAACGGCATACAGATGAGAACGAAAACAAAATTTTTCAAGTCGTTCTAGACGGAGTAATTGAATAAATAAATTTGTGCTAGGTGTGTGTGAAATTTTTGGAGCAATATTCACTTATTCTATTCCAACACATTTTAGCCGTTCCACTAATCCCATCCCACCAAAAAATTTCTTATGATTACAGTTCCACTGCCAGATTACACTCCGAGAATCAAGTGTGGCTGTTCAATTTACGAGATATGATGTGCTCGTTGTGTCCTACACCAGGCACAACGCACATGTGTTTTGCTGGTGCTCAGGTGCGGGATAGCTCATACTTAGGAAAAGAAAACAGTTTACAGCAGACTGGGCCAGAAGCACCTGGTGGATCCGTAAAATGCACTACAGCTCGTAAATTAAGTGGAGGAGAGAAGGTGTTAAGTAACCCCTATTAGTGGCAAGTATACTAGATTTTATAAAGGAAAATTTGTAAAAATAAAAATTCTCCCAGAATTTCGAACAAACCTCATTCCCAAAAAAGTACATGAAAATACTCAGCATCAAAAAAATGAGAGTCAAAGCATTACCCCCCCCCCCCTCAAGGACATGGCGAATGGTAGTGTCCAGACAAATGTGGGCACAGCTGAACTTTTCAGGTAGTTACTAACTGAAGCAGTGGAGGTCCCAATATTTTAGTTCGGGGGAGCGACAAAAATTTTCTCCGGTTGAAGGTGCACTTTGAATAATTTTTTGGGATACTTCCCAGGTTTTCTGCGGACCCATAAACCCCAACATCTACAAATAAACCTAGCGGCAACCACGTCTCCGAAAAACATCTTTTACAAGATCTTTTACAAGATCTAATACAAATTTCAAAAATTTCAAAATCTAGTTCAATTATTAACAAGTGTAAACAAAACCCAATCCCAGCTTCTATATAAAGACGCTGCGGTCACTTCCCCAAAAACGTCTTTTTGAGATGTCCCAGAATTTTTTGAACTCATAAACCCCAATTTTCGTTAAAAAAACGTAGCGACAACCACGCCCCAAAAAAAACTTTTACCAGGCTTATTATAATTTTGAAAACTCTAAAAAAAAATTAGTTTAATTGTTTACAATTGTGAACATAGTCCAGTTTCAGTTACCAAACAAATAAATAGCAGTGGTCACGTCCCCAAAATTTTTTTTACAAGACTAACTCTAATATTGAAAAAAAATTCCTGAAATTTCGTGAACAAGTCATTTGCGCATTTTTATAACTCGTGTAGTTAACCACTGATTGGATATACTTGAGCTGAAGGGGCAGCTCGTATACTTTCGCCAGATACCGTACTCGAGGAAGCTGAACGGAAAGAGTACGGTACTGGGATAGAATCTGGAGTTGCAGTTTCTGGCTTCGAATGAATCATATCAGCTGCAGAATGAGTAGGAATGAGTAGTGGTTCCTTTGAGGACTCCCAATCAAGTTCCACCGGATAAGCTCTGGTACAGAGGCTTGCTTGGAAACTCACTTTAGCATATATAAAAATCTTTCACTCAAGCCATGTGTTCAAGAAAATTATAGCATTCCCCCCCCCCTCCCCCCACCTCCTCCTCGTCCACTTTCCCTTTCACTAAGGTCAATCAGCAATTATATTTCAAAAGATAAAACACAATTTGAGCAATCAAGACAAGACCACTAACTGAACCGGTTCTCGCAACGAAATATACTCTTACCGCTAATTGACCCCCCCCCCCCCTCGTGCTCACCCGCAAATGAACTTTCAAACCGGTCTGTGAATCCGATTACGATCAGGCTCGACCATATCTCCGCCCGTCCATTCTCGAAGATTCATATTCATAAATCATAGCCAGCAATTTGCTCTAATTGGAATGTGTCTCTTCGGAGAAAAGTGGAAGGAAAGGATGTGCGAAGGAAAAACGTAAGAGCCCTCATAAAACTTTGAATGCTGGGCTTTCCAGAGCTTATATGGGAATTCGTTCGCACTAAAACAGCTTTCCTTCAATTAACTCAGTGAAGAAGATTCATTGGGTTCAAGAAAGATTAGGAACGTGATTTTCTTGGATTACTACTTTCGCGTATGACGCAAATGAGAAATTGCTCCTCCAGAAAAAAAGGACAAGTACTAAATTTCTCCGACCACTTCCATGTCATACAAATTCGCTTGATATGGAAAAAAGAGATAAAGTAGACAGAACAGGAAAGGAATGCATCTTGATTGGCTGCTGTTTGTATTCATAAAATTAACACATATTTTGCAATAATTAGATCACTTTAATTTAGCTCAAAAATTGCATGAACAAATAAACAATTTATTGATAGTAGTAATAATTTCAGAATAAGAGTGATAATGATAACGGTAACAACAATAACGAGAAAGAAAATGTCAATGATTGACAATTATAATAACTGTAACAATAATAAAAATAAAAATGATAATATTAAGTCTTAATAATGATAAACAGTATTAAAAGTAGTGAAAATAATTTCAAAAAATTACATTATTACTTTTCCATTACCATTAATGACTTACTGAAACTTTTGAAAATTTAATATCATTCGACACAAAAATGGTAAGAAAAATTTATCGTAGTAAAAACCATAGCTACATAGAAAAAAGGAGGTTGAGAGGGGAAGTGGAATTAGTGGATAAAGCAGGGAAGTGAAGGGAGGGGTGGTGGGGGGGGGGGGAAGGGGAGGGGGGGAAGAGCACACATATCTGTAATTAGTTTCATCGTCAGCAGATATCTTTCTTTCTTTCTCTTTCATTCCTTTCCCCTCTCCACTCCCCCCCCCCCCTCCCTCCCTCTCTTCGCCAACCCTTTAGAATGCAACCAGTCAAGACCACGAGAAAAAAATAAAAATTAAGTTAGATGTGGGTATAGCAATATGAAGAGAGAAATAATAACTTTGAATTGAAATGAAAAGCACGGGTGCGATCTTCCTGAGGTTACTTTTCGATACGGCTGCTTGCAGCTTAACGAGAAACAATTTTTCAAAACATGGACTCACCTTGAAGTCTTATTTTCGCAGGGCCAAACATGATCTCGGATCAGCTTTATTCACTGGATTGGTGGGGGGACTAATGGTGGCACCGCAGTGAGTCGCGGCGAATGTTTTAATCGTGCACAAGTGACTTCACAAGAGTCGCGGTGACTTTTTTACTAACTCGAGCAGAGAAAGCTCAGCACTTCGGCTCGACTACTCTCGCTTTGTGTGAGACTTTATAGAGCCATCAAAAATTAGTGGCATTTTTATTGCGGGGGGAGGGAGGGGGAGTAGAGGCGTGAAAAAGTGCGAATAAATATATGAAGAAGCCAATATATAGGCCAAAGCGAAAAGGTACTCTGAAACTGATTTCAACCCTCAACTCTAGGAAATCTTGGAATTCAAAAAAATTTTCAGGAAACAAATCATAGGCATAGTTTTTATTACGGGGGAACGTAGCCTGCACAAAATCTTTTTTTTTATAAAGGAGCCGATTTATTTGACAAAGAAAAAAGTACGATCAAACTGATTTTAACCCAATTGCAGGTCTAGGAAAATTTTCAAAAAAATCATAGGTTCCTTTAAGGGGGGGGGGTATATAGCAGCCGGCATGAAAAATTGCAAATAAACATATAAATAGCCAATTTATATGTCAGGAAAAAGCACTCTAAAACGAATTTTTATCCATTCGCAGCTCTAAAAACCTTTAACAACTCGAAGAAAATTGAAAATAACCACAGGCAGAGCTTTTTTTACGGGGGGGGGGGGCAGGGAGGGTCATGAATAAGTGCGAATGAACATATGGAGGAGCGAGTATATTAACCAAAAAAATTGTTGTGGATTTAGCAAATCAAATTTTTCCCGAAATGAAGCTTCAGAGAAACCTGGAACAACTCAAAGAAAATTTCTAAGAAAAAAAGCTATAGGCGGAGCTGATTCTACTAGGAGATAGCGGTCCAAGGAAAACAACAAAAAGTGCATGAAAACATCTTTCAAACTTCCCAAGCTTGGGTTACTACAACTACTAAGAAACACTTGAGAACTCCCAGAAAAAAGGCAAATTTGGAAGATTTCCAAGAATAATATAAGCCAACCACCGCAAGCACGAAAATGTTCACATTTCACTGGACTTGACCGTCACACACCATTTGCGCCATTCCGCACATCGAACTGGAAATCCGCCAGTCAACTGATCAAATTGCAATGACATCGCATTGAAATAGCGATATTTTACTGGATAAGAGCACAGCCGACATATGATTGATGGCGGTTGGTCAGGAACAGTTGTCCAAGTTGAGAAGAATGGTCATCTTTTGTTGAGCACTGATATTCAACAGCGTGCTTTACAGATATTATGGGAGTGTGAGAAAAGCAAGAAAAAAGGCGATGTGTTTGAAAATTGGCAAACGCCGCCCCCGTCAACAATAAATTCCGCCCACTGAGGTATGCAAAAAAAATAAAATAAATAATATAAAAGTATGCGCAATTTCAACAACGCAAATGCAACACTGCGGCCATAAATCTTTATGTACATACATGACCTTTGATTCAACAGGTTAGCAGGCTTGGCGGCTGGGAGGCGGGTTTTTGTGACCCAGGCGGCTCGCGCCCGCGACGCAGTCTGCGTCTCTCCCGCGCGCGTGCACTGTGGTCATCACCTAGCCTTAATTAGGTCACTCAGTTCCGCCTTCCAGCTGGCAAGCCAGTTGAAATAAGGGTAGATTGATCTTGAAAACACCCTGACTAATCTCGAGATTGCCCATCTCTTAAGAAAAATGGATGTTGATAACATTCTTGTCCCTAATATCTAAGCGCAAACATAAAAATGAAATTTGTCGAAAATTTGATGGTTATATGTTTGTGTTATGTTATCATATGTTGCTTACATGAATTACAATTTCGAAACTGGTCATCAACGTGGGAATTTGATGATTTCAATTGATCATTCTATGTTGTATGTTTCATTTGCAAAATATGAGTCATATTTTTGCCGTGAAGGACTGTCTGAGAAAATTAACCCACATGAATATCGTAGATAGAAACTGACTCAGACAAGTAACGGACACTTCCGTGGAAAGTTTGGGAAAGTTCCGCCGGTTCACCTGCGGAAGTTCCGAAGAATGCAAACCACAGCAGCAAAAGAGAACACCTAGGGGAGATTTGAATCTTACTCTAATGACAGTGTGACCCACCTACTATCCTCTGCACTACGGATGACATGTTCGATAATGCAGGCAACATAAGAGACAATACATACAAAATTCTGCGCAAGTACTGGCATTTCGAAGTGCTGCGGCACCTCTGGCATTTTCCAGAAGTTCCACAGCGCTTTGTATAAGGTCCTGAGGAAGTTCTCGTTGTCAACTTTCCCACTTTTTGAACAAAATCCCGGAACTGCTGCAAATTTTGCTTATCCCGCAGAAGTTCCGGTAAATTGTCTGAGTATGAGGGCCTAACTAAGTTACCAGCACATAAAAACATTCTTACAAGTAGTGTGTCGACTGTTGTTAGTCCACAATTTCTGTTTCTCAACAATTTCTATTTCACACTCTCGCTCAGTACCGTATCTTTCCAATAGAACGAGTCAGCATTATCAACTACGGTATTGCGCAAGATTAAAGACTCAAATTTCTTTACGAATGGAGTCATACGAGCTCAATTGAGCAATGACTTATATTAGGCCTCACAATCGCTATTTAAGTAGAGATAAAATGCACTCCAGTTTGATTAGACAGTGCTCATCACAAAGAGAATCGAAGAAAAACTGCTCTAATAGTAATTGGTGGACGAAAGTGTCGTAAAGGTGAAATTAGCCGCTGTAATGTGTGTAACCGCTGATTTCACACTCGATGACACTACCAGTCACGATAAAATGAATTTAGTTCAAAAAATAACCAGAGAATAGTTTTGTGAAGATTAAAAAGATTTCTCTTTGTGGAGGAAAAGACGTTAATGAATATAGGAAAACTGCGGTACAAAATAGAGTTTGGACTTTTTTTGCCAATAGAATTTCATAGATACATGGGTCTAACGCAATTTTATTCGTTCAGAATACGGGCGTGCGTGTGTAGAAGGTCGGACGGGGAAATTGAATTGGCAAGGTGTTATGGAAACCATAACAAATTGACTAGCAGCTGTCTATAAACAACAAGAAATGTGTAGTTTTTGCCCCGTCTGCGACAGAAAGATGCTTTTTGTCAAATAGCGAGACGAAGGGAAAGGGAAATGCGCGGGACATTTATTAGCAACGCTTTCCTTAGCCGAATTGGACTATAAATGGTTTCATATTTCTGTCCTTTGCTCGATTTTTTTATTCTTGATGACTGGATTGACTAGTTAGATGCGTATTCTTTGTGCAATAAGTAAAAATATATAAAATAAAAAAAATCTCATTGTTAGACACTTCAGAATTAAGAGCGAAGACCAATCCAGCAAAGCATGAATATGCTGAAAATATGCCAAAGAACTGCGAACGATGCGTCAAGGGGATTATGCGGAGTTCAAAAATTTCACATTGAGCGTGAAATGCAATGGCTATACGGGGCGCGGGGGGGGGGGGGAGCGGATGCCAATGTCAAGTCGAGAGTGTTGCATAGAGTGATGAATGTGACATGCCATTTCAGAATTCGAGAAGCGAGTTTGACGATGACGTCTCGCACATCTATATTATGAAAGCATAGCTGGGATGGATAAAATGCTAACATGGGGGAGGGGAGGGGAGGGATAATCAGCTTTTCAAACTAATAATAGGCTTTAATAAAGTCAAAGTTACTCGCCTTCAGAAAATTGATAATGCGAGATTACTCGCACCAAATCCTTTTATTAGGGAGATCCATCTGTTATTAGCTTTCTAAAGACTCTACATATCTACATAAATTTTACAAAAATTTCATAATTTTATTCCGTATTTTCTTTTATCTCTCTTGCGGCTGAGGACTGGCTGGTCTCATTTGTTTGGACCTTCTTTTTGTTTCTTTTTCATTCTGGTACACCCTGAGTGTATTTATAAAATGAAAATAGAATAAAAAATAAAATCAGCGCTTAAGTAGAGGTCTAGCAAAACGTTTACGAATGACTTGCGGCCCTCATATGAAAAAAAAGGAGAGCGTGAAGGACAAGTTGGTCTTGCCTAAAGTTTAACAGATACTTGCCCAAATAGCAGCTTCAATCCCAAAAATTTTTCCCTAGTAAAAGTCCTCCGAAACTTTTCTAGAAATGCAAATCTTTAGCAAGCTAGCAGAATAATCCGGAAAAATTTTCAGTTCTACAGCTGTCTACGAATTTTAAAATCTTACTTGCAATATGAAGTAAACTCAATTATTTGTATGATTTTGAAATTACCTAGAACACTTTGACATGTTATTAGATCTGAATGTGGATCAAACTAACACAATCAAATATACTAACGAATAGACAAATAAAAGTGAACACGATAGGTCTCGGACAGAGTTCATGCGATTTGATCGTCGCGATTTAGTCGCGGCAAGACAACTGATACGAGTTCGTTGCATGCCGACCAGCTTGCATTTCGGTTGTGATACTTTTCCAGCCCGAAATTTTTGAATGTGAAATGAAAATGAATGGAAATCTCGGCGACTGAATCGCGACGATCAAATCGCTTGAACTCTGTTCGGGGCCATAGATCAGCTAATAAAAGTTTGAATGCAAGTGTTTTCAATGAATGGGAATGGATTAAAAGAAATGATAACAAGTGAATAAATGAAAAAACATGAAGAATGATTGAATGAGCTGAGATGTTTCATTCTTACGATTTGCAACAGCTCACAACTATATCTACGAAAAAGCCTCGTACGTTGCCCAGCGACAGATTGCAATTGAGTTGATTGAGTTGATTATATCCAATTTTTTCTGACTTTACGCGGGGGTGGAGAGTCAGCAATTCTAGCAAAAAAACGAACCAGACGCCCTGAACGCTCTAGTGCATATATGTAACAACTTTTAGCTCGTGCTTCCTGATTTTCAGCATCAGACCCCCCCCCCCCCTCAAAGAAAAAGCGAAAACATTGTGACAAGCGTGCAAATCAGCGCGGCCAACATGTGCAGTTGTAATGTGTTGCTTCGTGAACATGACATCCGAGACGATCACGGCAGGGGGGGGGGGGGGGGAGAGAGAAAGAAATAAAGATGTCACTGTCCTGAAGCAACTGATAAGGGCAGTAAATACCTAATTAATTGCGAATTGCTACATAGCTTCGGTTGCAAGAGAAAAAAGTGTGAAAAACATTGCAGCAGAAGTCGAGCGAGGAGTGAATACGTACGAAATTGATAGATTGACGGCACCTTGAAACGAGCAGATGTTCGGTGGTGGGTGTGAGATTGATGTTGAAAGGTTGTGAAAAGATTTCTTAAGAAAAACTGAACTTTAGTTGGAGCTAGGATTAAAAGATTGAGTGACCACAGTTGCTAAAAGTGTATACAAGGATGTAAAAATAATGGCCGGTTTCCTTTTCCTAGAATTTTTTCTTTCAAACAGGGGCAACACACCATTAAGAACCTTTTCTTGCCCTATTTGTGGTTCGCATTCTCCGGAACTTCCGCCTCATCTCATTTGGGAACTTCCGCAGCACATTTACGGGACTTCCGCAAATGACCGAAACTTTCTCAAGCGTTCTGCGATAGCTCCGGTCAGTTGTCGGTGTGTAGTGATTACAATTGTCTTTTTTGCACATGGAACAGCTTTTTGTTTGTAATTTGTAGTGGTCTAATTTCAAGTTTTGGAAGATCTGCATTAATTATGTTACCATAGTTATAGGCAGTCGAATGAAATGTTTTGCAGCAAAATTAGAGGAAAATAAGGCATGATGACAGCCCTAGAATGTGCAAGCGAGAACTAGTCTTCGCGTGAGAAAACTGTCTCTTGATGGAGGCGCTTCCGTGTTATATAGCCAAATGTTTTATGAATTTGAATGGGAGTAAACATGGTGAGAAGTTTTGCACTGTGTTTAGAGTTTGGATTTCAAATAACATTGAGATAACAAGTTTTGCAGATGCTGCTACCTAGCAAGTTTGAAACTCAAGATGTGAGGGAAACATTTCAAAATGAATGGATATAATTTTAGAAACATATACTCAGACAATTGGCCGAAACTTCCGCAAACGTTTGGGAAAGTTCCTCCGAGTCACCTGCGGAAGTTCCGAAAAATG